TGTGTGGAACATTCGTCATTAACATGAACAAATTGAAATCTTTCTGATAAATGAACCAACTTAGTTCCTTTAATCCCAATAACATATTCAAGTCTCTGCAGTAAGATGCTGTGATCAATGGTGTCAAAAGCAGCACTGAGATCTAAGAGGACAAGTATGGAGACAAGTCCTTTGTCTGAGGTTAGGAGAAGATCATTAGTGACTTTCACCTATGCGGTTTCTGTACTATGATGGACTCTAAAACCTGACTGAAAATCCTCAAACAAATCATCCTTGTGCAAATGGTCAAATAACTGCTTTGCAACAGCTTTTTCAGGCGTTTTGGAAATAAATGGGAGATTGGATATTGGTCTATAATTAGCTAGGACACCTGGGTCAAAGGTAGGCTTTTTGAGTAGCGGTTTAATTACTGCAAGTTTAAAAGCCTGTGGAACATAACCTGTTAATAGAGAGAGGTTAATCAGATCTAGTATGGATGTGTTGATTAGGGGCAAGACGTCTTTGAGCAGCCTGGTCGGGATGGGGTCCATGAGACATGTTGATGATTTAGATGAAGCAATTGTTGAGGTCAACTCAGAGAGATTTATGGGAGAGAAGTAGTCCAAGTATAAATGAGGTCTTATAGATGATACTAAAGCCATTGTAGTAGATGGCACATCCGTGAAAGCTGTGGGAATGGTCTGACCAACTTTTTCAATTTAATCATAACCCTGCAGCATCCAACACTCTGACTGATGTAATAACAATGACTGCCTTATTGTAATAATGAGCCTCTTGTGTGTCTGTTCACAAGCCTCTCTAGTGTTAGGGTATTCCTTGATCTTTCTCTGCAGATGGGATATCCAAACATGACTGTCTCACAATTAGAAAAAGATAAGGAGCTCAGTGGAGGGACTCGAGGTCGAGAGCAGTCGCAGAGCTATACAGGAGGGATTTCCTGTGTCACAGACACAAATGTCTGATGATAGTGTTAGTAATAGTAGTAGAAGCAGGGCAGAGATTAGACCACACTCCTGGTAGGCTCAGATCAGACAGACTGAGTGGAGGCTGGGTGGTTTCACAGTCATTTAAGAGAGTGACACACTTGGAGGAGCTCCCTTCACTGGTCATTAAACACATTTAAGTGAAGGCACTGTATCCTTCCCCACCTGGAGTCTTAAATGTCCCGCTTCTCTCTCTCGCTAGCTGTAAATCTCCTCTGTCTGGCCTCTTAAACTTTCTATTCGTCCCCTGCTTCCTCAAACCCTTGCTCACGCTCTATATAATCTGGCCTTCAGAAGAGAGTCAGCTTCGGTATATTAGCCATTCTGCATAGGGACATGACCTTTACCGGCATTTTCAATTGACGTTTTCATTCTCCAAATTTTAATCAGGGGAAGCATAAAGGACCAACAGGTGCCTCTCAGCAAAAACAGCTGCTTCTAAATTATTTAGAAGATGGATGATTGAAAAGCAGCACTCTCTCTCTTTCTCTCTCTCAAGAGTGGCCTTACTCAGAACACTCGTTCATTCGGGGTGAGAAATCCAGTGTGACTTTGCTCCATCCATATATGACTAACCAAGTGTCCTTCTCTCAGAGGCTGATGGATTGGCTCCATTCTCATCTTTGACCTTGACTGAAGCACTAAGTCTTTGTTAGATCACAGTCTTTCACAAAATCACACCCTGGGCAGTGCAGTCAATCAGTGGTGGAATGCGAGCACTTTCAAACAGGGTTTCCATCAGTCATACATACAGTCCTGATCCTTTCTCTCCTTACTTTTAGTTACAGCTAGTCATTTCGTAGTCCTCAGGAGAGCATGTGTGTCCTTCATCTGCTGCTGTATGCACACTAAAGTACTCTTAGGGGGCTTCTTGTTGTCAGTGGATGTATCCACAGATCCTATAGAACTCATTAGACCACAGGTGTCTCTCACTACTTACTCTTAAATACCATCATCTAACATCACTGAGAGCCAAGTTTGAGTTCAGTGGACTTGTAATGGGTTTTAAGTTGCTTTGTTTGCCTGCAGTGTGACATAGCTTATCAATAGACTTATGCCATTTGTCAGTCTGAAGCTACACTTGTTGCAGAAGTGCTGAAAGTGCTTCACAGTGCTGGGTTTGTTATCAGTTGTACTATTTTTCAGATAAACTTTGTCAGGTAAAGAAGATTAGCAATGTGTGGTGAATTAATTTATTTATTTTAAAAGAGAAAAAGGAAA